TTAGGGCTTAAATTTCGCCTCGGGTAGTTCCAATTGTTTATAGGTTACAGGCAAAATTTTTTAATCGTTTGAATCTGTCTTCCCTAATCATTATTGGATGATGGGGAATCATCTTTTTTGCAATAGAAAATTAAATAATACACTAAGGTATGTCTTAAATTTTTAATTTTTAAATATTATTAACTTCTCCTAAGCTGAAACTTATAATTTTTCCCTAAGCTAATTTCTCAATTTAATTTAGTTTAATAATAAAAACTAAGTTGGGGAGAGCTATTAAATGAATGATTTATATATAATAAAGATATCACAGTAAACTTGGTTGTATGTTTTTCTATTGCAACGTTTTGATGCACATAAGTTATATCAAGAAGAGATCGTTTTGTGTATCATTTTTAGAAATGATACACGAAACGGTCTCATTTTTTGATGCAAAAAATTTAATCAATTTATATCAATCATGGCCGAATTGAATCGACTCAAAATTAAACGAATTTTTTTCAGATATTTTGGTAATAGTACAATTGCGGAGACCATTTCACTATTTAATTTGAAAATGAAAATAACAGAAAATCAAAGAAAATGTGCAATTCGATAATTAAAAACTGACAGCTTATAAACATAACCTAAAATGCATGAGAAAAAATTTGTCGATAAAATCATTATAGCCGAGCTTTTTAGAAGGTAGATGGCAGCACTTATCTATTTTCTTTCTTTAAATTTTTTCTGAATCGTTTTTATAAAAAGCAAAACTGCCATCTACCTTCTAAGAAGCTCGGCTATATTGATTTTATCGACAAATTTTTTCTCATGCATTTTAGGTTATGTTTATAAGCTGTCACTTTTTAATTATCGAATTGCACATTGTCTTTGATTTTCTGTTATTTTCATTTTCAAATTAAATAGTGAAATGGTCTCCGCAATTGTACTATTACCAAAATATCTGAAAAAATTCGTTTAATTTTGAGTCGATTCAATTCGGCCATGATTGATATAAATTGATTAAATGTTTTGCATCAAAAAATGAAACCGTTTCGTGTATCATTTCTAAAAATGATACACAAAACGATCTCTTTTTGATATAACTTATGTGCATCAAAACGTTGCAAAGATTTGATGCAATTTTTGGTCTCAATTTGAAACTTTTAGGAAAACTGTGAACTTTTTGCTTTTGAATTAGTAGCATTTAATTAATTATTAGTAAAAAAAAAAAAAAAATTGTTTACAAATACGAATTACTTAAATTTTACTCATTTAAAAGCAAAAATTGAGTCACTAATTCAAATTAGTTAAATTTTTTACTAATTCAGATTTAAAAAGTGGTGCACAGTAAATAAGCATTTAAAAAAATAATATTACCGGAGAAAGTTATTTAAAAAGCATCAGTCAGTTAAAAATTGTTAAATCACACTTGGAATAAAGTATAATTAAATTAAAATTACTGCTAAAAAGGATTTAAATTTTACTGTAAAGTTTTTTTACAATTTCTCTTGAAAATCCTTTCCTATCCTATATAAGACAAGTAATTTCTGTATAATGTCCTTTGTATAAAAATCTCATTTTTATTGACTGTCCCAAAAGTTTGACAAACCACTTTGAAGATGCTTTCCTCCCTATTAATCATCAATCGAAATAATTCATATATATCATAAATAAAATATCTCTAAATTGATCCCTCATAGCGTATATTGAATATAAATAACAAAAAAAAATGTGTCAAACCGAAAAAAAAAAAAATTACCGAACCCCTCTCCTCCATACAAAGCGCACGTGACAACATCAAAAGCATTATCAGTTCATAATAAACAGTGTGTTAAGAAGGAATAAAAGAAAAAAAAATCCGGAAAAGTTGCAGGTGTCTTGCTTTTTTATAAGCAAGAGAGGAGACTCTGTGGCCGGCCCCCCCGATGCCACGCCTGACGATTTTATAGTGTATATACAGAGAGAAAGAGAAAAGCAACTGAGGGACATTCTCCCTCACTCATACATACATACATAAATACATACATAGAGATGCGAGGTCGACAGGAGGACCGACGACGAGGACGACGCGGACGTGAGGGCGCCAAGAGAAAAGTAGAGAGGGTCATACAGAGACAGACACAGGTGGGCGTGGCGCCTGTCCTGCGCCACTCTGCGCCGCACATCATACCGCGCGGGGGGTACACAGTGATATGAAATTACGGGGGCCTCCACCCCCACAACCTTTTCAGTCATCCGCACCGCAACTACCACCCTCTTTTCCCTCCAGTGAGGGAAAAAGAGACAGAAAGAGAGAGTTTCTGTCGTCCCAGAAGCGGCATCAACTTCCTCCGTTTTTATTTTCTTCCAAGTGTTGTACACACACACATATATATATATATATATATATATATATATATATATATATATATATTATATATACGTTATATTCCGGTTGCAGTCACGGGGCCTTACGGCACAGCTCGTTCGTCACGAGCTGCGGTCGACAGAAGGACGCCGCCGTCTCATCTCGCGCGGCCCAATCAGCTCGTAATCACTGAGCTTGGAAAAAGGTGCGTTCATTGGTTTGGTCTTTGGTCCCCGCGTGTCTTTTTGTATGGCAGCACACACAGAGGCCACTAGGAAATAGTCTTTTATGATGTGTATAGACGTGGGTGCGATACCTGCATTGATATATAGAGAAAATACACCGACAGAGAGAGAACAAGATTTACTATACACCGCACAATCCCCCCCCCCATCACCCTTTTCGTTGACTGCACACTCACCGCGCTACCACTGTCACCATTCTGAGACTGCTACTATATACAAAAGGCGCCGGGTTTCTAATACAGTTGCCCCCACGAATTACTAACTCGTAAAAGAGAAAAATATATATATATAGGGGAAGTGGACCACGTTTTGTTTTTTGTGTATAATTTTTTTTTTTTCTTTTTTTTGAGGTAAACAATTGGCAAACTTTGATACAAGTGTTGTATAGGTAATAATATTAGCTACAAGTTACAAGTATTTAGAATTTTTTTATACTGCGTCACAGAAAAATTTTCTAGACATTTTTCAAACACAGGCTTCGCACTCATTAGTCAGTAAAAAAAATTGTAGCAAAAAGTAGCCTGAAAAGTAAAAAAAAGTAGCTTACGGAAAAAATATTAAAAATATGTGTAGTTTATATATTAAATTGTATTTAATATATAAATATATAATAAATAAATATATATATAAATATATATAATTTAATATATATTGTATTTAATTATATTTAATTTAAAAAAATTAAATTTCAACACTTAATTTACATATAATAATTTGCATAATACTTTGTTTTTAGGGGGTATAAAAAATTAAAAATATACCATAAAAGTAAAGAATTTTCGAACATTAAAAGAGGCAAAAGAGGTAATTACAAATTTTTGGCTCAATCCATTATATTTTATATCAAAAGTCGTTAAGGCCTAATTTTTTAAAAAATAGATACTTTCCAAAATGATTGTGGATGATATTTAGAGAACGAAATAAAAACAATTAAGTCAAAATTTTTATTATTTATCTTGAAATATGAGTTTAAAATGGAGAAGATATGGAAAACTCACTTTTTCTGCAATTAGAAAGATTATTAAAAATATTGACAACTCTTTTAAAATGTACATTGTATTTTACTGCGGCTCTTGTTCAGAATTAATTAATTTATTATCTTTTATTGATTACACAGCCTCAGAAAAAAAAATTAATTTTGTCCGGCGAAATAGACTACCCAATGGGAAACTGCCACCATCTGTACCCATTGGCGTATTAATTGGCCCAATGATGGGAGCCAATGAAAAAACCATTGGCACCCAATAATGGACCATTATTGGTAAAGTCAGAGGGGCTGTCCACGCCGATGCCAATGATTGGCAACCAATAATTAGCCAATATTAAATATTTTAATAATAATTTAAAAAAATGTATTATTTTTTAATAGTTATTATTATTATTATTTTATTTTTAATAATTAAATTAAAATAAACAAATGGTCATCAAATTATTAGTGAAACCATTTCTTCCAAAAAAGAATTTGTCTCAAATCCAATAAATAGGAGAGACATTGGGCAGAAAAAAAAATTTCGACAAGAAAAAAATTTTCAATCACTGCTTATATACCAATCTAATGGCACCTTAACTGCGAGAAACAGTTATGATGTTCGCCCTCCGTGTAGCGTTGAGCGAACTAAAGTTCAGAGCTGAGCCATCAGCGCAGCGCGGGAACATTTGAAAAATTTGATTTTATTAGATATTTTATTTCATTTTAAATATGACAAATAATTAACTTAATAAATAATTAACTTAATAAATAATTAACTTAATAAATAATTAATGTCATAAATAATTATTAATAACATAATGTCATACTTAATAATTCGTTAATTAATTATTTTTAACGAAAATTAAAAAAAAAAATTTGTGGCCAAAAAAAATATTACCCTTAGGAGTCTTGTTTATCGTGCAATTGAAAAAAAAACATCGTGTGCAATACGGGCGGAAAGATCAATTTCTTTATCTCGTGCGGCAAAATTCACACTCGGTCAGGAATTGACTACTTTCCGCCCTTGCCACACAATGTACTATTATTATTTTTATTATGCTCTACACTGAATGATTTTTTATTTGAAAATTTAATATAGTTGTTCTATAGAATCTTTGGTGATTATTTTTTAGGGTTCTTAATTTAAAAATATATTTAAATAAATATATTTTAAAAATTCTATTCTTTAATGTTAATTAAAATAAAAATTTACAAAAGTCTCTTTTACAGATTTAATCATTTATTGCAGTCATATATAATTACAATTGTTGACAACATTTCAAGGCGGTAGATATATTCTTCGTCTGTGCAGAAGCTGTGTACAGCTATAGTATACAAACATTCTACGCAGACGCAAAATATATCCACTGCCTTTAATCTCTCGGAAGATTAAATTTATCCATACGGTGAAAACAGCCTTATACTTTTTATTTCAATTATTAAATAAAAAAAAGAGACGTTATAGGTTATAAAATTTTTATTTTTCATTCGTGATTTCAAATACAAAGATTATAAATCTTTTGAATAAATCGATTGGATTGATCAGCCAATTTAAACACAATTCATGGTATCCAGAAACTCTTTGGCTAAATTTATCAAGGTAGTAGCATCAGATTCACATTTCTTGATTATATTCTCCGCTGTACAGGCAGATATATTCCTATAAGGGCTGTAAATGAAATAATTGCTTATAAATTATATGGAATACATAAAATATAAGAAAAGTGTTTAAAACTTTGCCGTACAACTCGGTCAACACGAATATATTATAATGGTTACACAGAAAAAACCTAATCTCAAATTAAGTACAAAAATTTATACTTAATTTGATACGCATCAAAAATGAGACAGGTAGATGGCGCCACGTTCTATGTCATTTAACATGAACTCATTTTGAGATGCAACAAATATGAGTCCAACTTTTTTCTGTGATATACACTGGAGTTTCACTTAATTTAACAATGACGAATCAAATTCGATGCAAAAAGTCGCACTTATTTTACCTGTACAGTTTCTTATAGAGAACATATGATTATGGTTGTTGCTAACCAATAGGAAAGTTACATCACAATATAATATATTATATGATGACGAAGAAATTCTCTATTAGAAATAAAAATGCACAACCATCAATGAATTAATAAAAATGATAACTTACGAGCATTCATTTTCGAAATGAGACATTGACAGTGTAAAAAAGAGCATGTCTTTGTCTAATATAATCCTATTCATCAGATTATTCAACTCAGGTTTGCAATCTGGGTTATTTTTATTTTCATTACATTTCTCCAAGTCAATTCTAAATTCATCTAAAAGAATTGACATTTAAATAATTATTTAACTAAATACTTTATATTGTATCTTAACTTTTCTCTATTCGTCAAAATTTATTAACTTCATAGTCTAGTAGAAAAATCGTTTGTGGGCCCCAAAACGGTTCAAAAAAAACTTTTCCAAAAAAATATCATATCATCGTATTAAAAGTTTTTGGGGTCGCTGAATATTTATAATATTTTTTTGGGTGTACTTCCGAAGTAGGGGTACCTCCGATTTTAATAAAACTTGGTATTCTAACGTATTTTGGTGCGCTGATTACGAAAATGATAGTGAAAATTGGCGCAAATTTGATTATCATGGTAAAAACCATAAAAAACACCATAAAATAATGGTTTTTTACGATTATCTCGTAAAAAACAAAAAATTTCGAAAAAAGTTTTAGACAAAAGTTGTAGATCTCAAAAAAACACACATTTTATGTTTTATGCATTTTTTACCAAAAGTCATTATTTTTCGAGAAAAATCCAAAAAACGAAAAACACCATGATAATGAAAACATATACAGCAGTCATGGTTAGACATATTATTTGACTCGTATACAGTATCATATTCACCATTAGTCAGAATCTAACGAATTCCGCAAAATACTTTCGGCCATATCCACCCCCTCTCGCCAAGGTTTTTTTTAAAAAGAAAAGCGAGCAGTACCTTACGCGGCCGAAGGCCGTGTTTACTATTTTGCGTTTACCGCTGCTGTGGACTCCACCCCACAATTTCCGCAAATTACTTTCGGACACATCCACCCCCTCTCGCCAAGATTTCTTAAAAAGAGAAGCGAGCAGTACCTTACGCGGCCGAAGGCCGTGTTTAATATTTTGCATTTACCGCTGCTGTAGACTTCACCCCACAATTTCCGCAAATTACTTTCGGACCATTTTTCTCGAAAAATAATGACTTTTGGTAAAAAATGCATAAAACATGAAATGTGTGTTTTTTTGAGATCTACAACTTTTGTCTAAAACTTTTTTCGAAATTTTTTGTTTTTTACGAGATAATCGTAAAAAACCATTATTTTATGGTGTTTTTTATGGTTTTTACCATGATAATCAAATTTGCGCCAATTTTCACTATCATTTTCGTAATCAGCGTACCAAAATACGTTAGTATATCAAGTTTCATTAAGATCGAAAGTACCCCATACTATATACGAGTCAAATAATATGTCTAACCATGACTGCTGTATATGTTTTCATTATCATGGTGTTTTTCGTTTTTTGGATTTTTCTCGAAAAATAATGACTTTTGGTAAAAAATGCATAAAACATAAAATGTGTGTTTTTTTGAGATCTACAACTTTTGTCTAAAACTTTTTTCGAAATTTTTTGTTTTTTACGAGATAATCGTAAAAAACCATTATTTTATGGTGTTTTTTATGGTTTTTACCATGATAATCAAATTTGCGCCAATTTTCACTATCATTTTCGTAATCAGCGCACCAAAATACGTTAGTATACCAAGTTTTATTAAAATCGGAGGTACCCCTACTTCGGAAGTATATCCAAATAAATTTTTAAATAGCATAACCTCAAAATTATTTAAATTTTCTTAAAAATTACTTTTAAAAATTTCTTTTACCTTCAAAAATAGGCACGTATTGTGTAAGTTGCAACTCTATCAAGATATTTAAAAGATTATTATCCATTTCGGTTTATTCCCATTTTTTCACACGGAAACTAAAACTTTTTCACGCATGATATGCGATTTATGACGCGACGTAAATAATATGACGTAATCATCTTTGCGCATGAGCGAGTTTCTATGGGAAATCCTCTTATAATTTAGAGGAATATTCTTAAACATAGAAGATTATTCTAAATTCTAAGAGTCTTATTTTTATTCTAAAAAGATTATTCTGAATATAAGAGGAATGCTCTAGAATAGTCCTTTTGTTTCGATCCTCTTGAAATTAGAGGAAAATATTCTCATTTAAAGAGTAATACTCTTGTTTTAAGAATAAAATTCAAGAGGATTCTGTAAAAGGAATTTTCCTCTGAATACAAGAATATTTTTTTTCGGTGAATATAAACATTGTATATTAATAATTTAAATAAAATAACTCTTATTAAAAAATTATTATATATACACTTACATAATTTTTTGTAATGGCATAATTTATTTGAAATGTCTTGATAAATAATTTTTAATTCCTTGTCGCTAGGCTTAGTTTCATTGTCAAAACAAGGCAATATTTCATTAACTAAATTTTCAATTAATTTTTCCTTATTAGTATCGTTACAACTTAAAGATTCAAGTTGATTTGCCAAATTTTTGGCTTCAGTTAATGAATCATAACTGTTATTCTGCTTTGTGCATAACTCCTTCAATTCAGTAAGCGTTATACTTTTGAATGGTTTTTTCTCTACTTCTTTACTCAAGCCTGAAAATGATAAGACATAATTTTTAAAAAGAAATAATTTAATTTAATATTTTTCATTGTTATTAATTAATTAATAATGCAATCATGTATATTTTAATATATATATATATATTTACCATTACTGACAGCAAGAATCAGAACTGCTAACAAATACTTCATGTTTTTAAAAACAATTATTTACGAAATTGGTAAATCTTTAAACATTAAGTATAGTTAAAACAAAAGCAATGAAGACTTCATGAATTTCTGTTCTTTATATATTACGCTATAATCTCGCAGATAACACTATTTGTTTTAATGTCAAAAAAAAAAAATATTTTATCTAAAATAACATTTGCTAAATGTACTTAAAAATCGTAAAAAATATGTGAAAACCCATTTCCTTTTCATATCATTAGACATAAAATATATCATTTTATATTTTTTAGTTATAAAAAAAAAACTTCATGATATCTTTAACATTATTATTATTGAATTTTTTTAAAATCTAACTACAAATTATTTTCAGAATATTTTTACGATTTTAAAATTTTCTGTTTTTCTTATAAATATTGTTCCTGTTTATTATCTCGCAAATAATCTTCCTTAATTCAAAGAAACTTTTTAGCATTTTGTATATTTTTGTTGAGTTTTTTCTTGATTAAAAATTATATATCATTCCTATATTATAAAACGATATCGCCACTAACACCGCTGTTTCAAGAATGAACGCTATAGGCGAGAATTTCGACGCTACGCGGGATCTCACTGTACTCGCCTACCATTCAAACTCGCGTACCGTTCAGAATTAGTCTTGAGAATTTTAGATAATTGAATTCTACGTGGGAATTTACTCTCTAAATCTGAATTAGTTTACTAATGAAAGAGAGCGTATTCGTTTACCAATTGAATTAGTAACAGTTTTGACTAATTTTTAGTAAAATACTACTAATTTCACAGAAAATTAAAAGGCATTAAAATAAGCTGCAACGCTTATTATTTTAATCCAATTTTGCTTATTTTAATACCAAAATGGATTAAAATAAGTAAAATTAGATTAAAATAATAAGCGTTGCAGCTTATTTTAATGCCTTTTAATTTTCTGTGTTCTAGTAGAAAACTACTAATTCATGGAGTAAATCGGTTTACTAATTTGAAATAGTAAAAAATACGATTTACTCCATGAATGAGTAGGTTTCTACTATAAATGAGTAGTATTTTACTAAAAATTAGTCAAAACTGTTTAAAATTTAAAAGGTCATAGGTCAAAGGAAAACATAGTCTCAAAATTACGTCAAAGGTAACACAGAAAATTAAAAGGCATTAAAATAAGCTGCAACGCTTATTATTTTAATCCAATTTTGCTTATTTTAATCCATTTTGGTATTAAAATAAGCAAAATTGGATTAAAATAATAAGCGTTGCAGCTTATTTTAATACCTTATAATTTTCTGTGCATATGCGTGGAGGCGAACATATCCTCAAAATTTGGTCAAAGTCATAGAAAAAAATACTGACATAACCTCAAAATTAGTGTCATAGGTTAGAAGAAAAGTCATTCGTGGTGCATCTTGGAAAAAAAATTTTTTAAAATGAAATACTAAAAAGTAAAAATGTTTCTTTAAAAAGTTGACTAAAACTATTCTTTGAAAACGAAGCTAAAATACGCAACGTTTATGATAAACGATTTAAAAAAGAAAATATTTAAAAATGAAAAATTCTATAATTTTTTGCCTAAATAATATTTTTTGTATTTTTCATTTATCAACAAATTATTAAAAAAAAAAAATTTAGGCAAAAAATTATTTCTTTAAAAATTGTTTATCATAAACTTTGCGTACTTTAGCTTCGTCTTTGAAAATATATGAAAATTTATTACGTTCCTAATTTTCTTTTTTAAAACCTTTTTTTTTTATGTAAAAGCTATATAATTTCTAAGAGATTTAAAAATTTTCTAATGTATTTCTTTATTGACTGTAAACCTCTTAAGAAAATTTTTTCCGTTCAGTATATAAAATAGTTAAGAATAATTTAAACAAAAATTTCTCCCACACATGGGGAATTGAACCCAGAACTCATGGGACGAGAGCCATGTATACTCTGTCCAAACAGACATATATTTTAACTGGACTAAATTTATTAGTTTAACAATTTTCGACTTAGAGTATTTTTAAATCTTATTTAAAAGAACTGATAGTATAAAAATAATTCGGAAAATTTGATTAGAAATTCTTTAAAGAGGAGAATGTATTTTTTTTTTTTTTTTTTTTGAGAGAGAATGAAGTAAAACATATTAGAATTTGCCTCTTAATGTGAAATTACAATTTTTTGTGATTTTTCCATATATATATATATATATATAGTTTCTAACACGATCGCAATTTGCTTCTCTGTTTCTCACCTGTTCTGCTTTTATTGTTAGTGCAACACTTTGGCCTTTAAACTGTCTTTAATCCTAGCTGACAGAAGCCGCGCCTTCTACCCCTTCCCAAAAGGAAAGCGACCGTGCCTTCTATCTCTTTGCACACGAAGTTCTATGTCACGGTCGATCTCAGAAACTAACGCACACACACACACACACATGAGAAGTACAATTCAAAAATTGACCAAAATTGTCAGATTTTAAAAAATCAAAAAAAAAAAATTTTTTTTGAAAAAATTTCCGCCATATTGGGTTTGCGATTTTGAATTTTCAAAATCTGACTTCATATTTGTAATCAGCGACCACGAAAACCCCTAGATACCAAGTTACGTGATAATTTAAAAACAAATTAAAAATTTGTCCGCTATATTGGATCCGCCATTTTGAATTTTGATAATTGAATTTAACATTCGTAATCGAGTACCTCAAAAATTTTCTTAAGAATTTTACAGTCAATAAAGAAATATATATTAGAAAATTTTTAAATCTCTTAGAAGTTATATAGCTTTTACATAAAAAAGGAAAGTTAAAATCCTACTAGCCCATTTATTTGGAGTAAATAAAAATTTATTTAATCAAATAAAAATTTATTTTAAAGCAAACGAAAATTTATTTAAAGCAAATAAAAAATATTTAAATCAAACAAAAATTTATTTAAATAAAAAAAAAAATTTTAATCAAATAAATATTTATTTGGCTCTGAGACAAATGTGTCATTTCTCTGAATGTAAACTCGGGTTTCTAAAATTTAAATACTTTTATTGGGTTTTTTTTAAAAAGGACAAATTTTGTATTTCTCAAATGTGGTATTTTTTCATAGTTTCTTTAGATACTTAATAATATAAATTCTCATAAGGAAACAAAATTTATTTTCGTGTCTCAAGAGGTTGATATATAATTTTATTATAGAGAGTTAAAAAATATACCTTTGTATTTAAAAAAGAAATACAACTTTTTTAACACAAATTGCATTTCTTTACATATATCTTCTTATAATTTGTGCCTTTGGTTATCCGCAGATTTTTTTTTTAATTCTAACAATAAGCACATTTGTTAACTATACTGATTAACCGCGTAATGTCGGCGCATGACTTGCGGTAACTCATTTTCAGAAGATTTTATAAAGATATATACTCATTCCAAACACACAGATTCGAAATATTTTAATCCATTTTATTTTTCTCTTATATTTATTTTATTCGCTTACAATTTCCTACAAATTGTATATTTTTTCATTATTATTATTATTTTTATTAATGAAAATTATTCGGTATTTATAAAAATACAACTATTTTTATTGTTAGTAATGACTTTTGTTTTTGTTTTATTTTCTTATAAAGAGCCCTTTTTTTAATTTCCTCTTCAACCCTCCTTGATCCTCTTCTTTCTTGCGAGAAGAGGCATTCACAAGTATACAGTAATGGGAAAAAACGAGAGGAAGGAAATGCGAGGTCGAGCTAGATTGGTTTGACCCCCTGAAAGGTTGCGCACGCGAGTAAACATCTTCAAGTGACGTAGTCCGAGTATTCGAATTACCTCTTTAAATTCTCTGGTACCCGTTATTTTAGAATAGCGTCAAGAAATTGTAGGAATTGCACACACAAACACTTAACAGGGAAATTTTTTTTTTTTTTTTTTTGTCAAAAACTTTTTGTCACACTGATTTTAATAAAGCAAAAAGAATTGAAACAATATAAGAAACAATTACACAGAAAATTAAAAGGCATTAAAATAAGCTGCAACGCTTATTTTAATGCCTTTTAATTTTCTGTGTATGTCATTTCATATTGAAAGGAAAATCTCTTTTTTTTACAGATTCTGAGACGTTTTTCTCTTAAAACAAGAATATGGAAATAATAATAATAATAATAATAATAATAATAATAATAATATTTTAATATAAAAAAAAATTACTAAAATTTTATTACTTTTTTTACTTTGGTATTTTTTTTAAAATTTTTATATAATCCATATTATGATAAATCAGATGAAATGCAATTTATTTAAAACAGAGAATAAAACAAATTATTATGATAAAAAATTTATTACTTTAATTTAAATTATAATTAAATTTATATAATTTAAAATGAGAGTTTTCGACAGAGTATGCTTAGTCGGTAAGTCGTTGCTACACATTACTACACTTATTTTTAGGTTAGTAATTGTTTTAAATTTACTTTTAAGTTAGGTTAGGTCATAAAGCAAGGGTAATCTCTATATCACTAAAAGAAATATATATTTAAAAAATAATCATAAAATTAATATATTATTCCCAAAGACAAAACATAAGTATTAACACCATTGTGCGAAGTTATCGCCACACCCAGAGAAGAAATTTCTTTGATTTAAAGAAACCAATTTCCTTGACTTGTTTTCTTTCATTCAAAATTAAATTTTTTTTAAAACAAAAAAACTTTTTATTATCAAAGAAAATTTATTTGATTGAATGAAATTTTCTTTGAATGAAAGACATTTGTGCATTAAATTAAAGAAATTCTAACATTGATATAGTGTCAAAGAAACATTTATTTGAATTAAATAAAAAATTTCTTTGAAACAAAGATAACCTTTTTGAATTAAAGATAATTTTTTTTTTTTTTAATCAAAAATAATTTGTTTGAAACAAATAAATTTTCTTTGTATCAAAGAAAAATTTGTCAATGAAATTAATTTTTTTGAATTAAAGAAATCTTTTTTCATGCTGCATGATGTTAATTTGTCAGCAACTTTTTTTCGTACAATACCAAAAATAAATGTATTTGAGATTTTGTGAAAAAAGTCTAAAATAACGTTGAAGAAGATTTGTTATGTGCAATAATTGTGATATTTTGTTAAGTAAATTATTATTAAATACTTATGAAAATTGTAAGAAAATGAGAGGTTAGAAGTGTGACGTCACTGTTTAGATTTTCTATCAATTTTCAAATATATTTAATAATTATAATTAACTTAACAAAATATCACAATTTTTGCACATATAACATATAACCATTTCCTCAGCACTGGTACTATTGTACTTGGAACAAAAAAATGTCTAAATTTGCATTAAATAAAATTTGAGGTTATGTTTATTTTAAGAATAAAAATATAATTTTTATACTAATGTTGCAAAGAAGATAAAAAGAAATACATTTAAAAAAAAAGATTCCAACCAGAGAAATATTTTATTTTCGTTTATTTTCAGGCAAATAACATTTATTTGAATCAAATAAAAAATATATTTCTTTCAGAGCTTATAATAACTTTTTATTTGTTTCAAATAAACACTTTAATTTAGCAAAAATAAAATTTTTATTTAAACCAAATAAAATATATTTAAATTTTAAATAAAATTTATTTCAACTAAATAAAATTTATTTGAAGCAAATAAATATTTACTTGGCTCTGCACTGAAAAAGTCTTGGGCGTTTAGAATTCCCAACACATGTATGAGAAGCACCAAATAAAGAGATTCTGCACAACTTCATTGTGGGGCTAACTGTTTCCCATCTTGGGTGCTCTGAGTGCCCAAGTCTGATGCTGCAGCATCACCAAATCTTGGTAACAATAACGTGGAACATCTGCTCGCCCAACATTTAGCATAGAGGTTGCTCAAAATCATGCTCCAGACACTCCAAAGCAAAGAGCTACTGCATTTCCACTGTTGGAACTGCTGATTGCTTAAGACTTTTTCAGTGTGTGACAAATATATCTCTTCTCTGGGATTTGAAATGAACAATAACCTCTAAATGAACCGCTGAAAAATAATATCAGCGTTCAATTATAAAAGCTTAAATTTCAATTTGTTAAAAATTGAGGTTATGTTCGTTTAAACCATTGCTTTTAGAAAAATTATTTTAATGGCACAAAAATATAAAATGTATTAAAGAAAATTTATAGTACAATTTACATATTTTGTTACTTATGTTAGCATGTGTAAAGTTAATACATATGATGTTTTTCCGGTGGAAAATTAGATATATATAGACAAGCTAACTGTTTAACACGTTTGTCTCGCTTCATAAACCAAGAGAGGGCGCTGCCCACATGCAACTCGTTTGGAAATCGTCTTCCTGAAACAATGTACAATGTAATATTATGTATACTTTTTACACATATACATGAATCTTCATGCGCGCACTCTCTATGCATAATACCTATAATATATATGTACCGTTGTGTGTGAAAACTTTTTGTATTGTTCTCTTTTATGTTTATATATTTTGTTTCTATGTGTATATATGTTCACAATATGTATATATATATATATGTATGCATATGCAACGACTATTTCAGAAGCTCACTGCCACCTTCTTCCACACTCCCATTCTGTCACACGCATGTGAAACAATTGCCCTCTTCTTTAGTTGCCGATGGCATTAGTCTTCCTGTACTTTAAGAGATCGGTGCATAAATGGACAGGTAGAGGTGCAGTTGCCCCTAATTGTCGCCTTCCTCCTCCATAAGATGGTCTATATATGTATAAGTAGTATAGAAATAACAGGCGTGGAGTTTTAAAACAAAAAAACACTTGTAAAATTTACAGATTTTTATCTTTTTATTATAGTTTTACTGTATATATATATAAGTAAATTATATTGATGATTATTGCTGCAGTGTCATTTAAATTAATTGACAATTAATTTAATTTTTTTTAGTAATTTTTAACTGAATTGTAGAAAAAAAAATTGAGGCGCAAGGAATAGAAAATTTTTCATTGGAGTTTCCAATCTATGTTCTGTCGATAAAGTAGGTGAATAGTGTCAGGGTTGGACACAGTTTTGGTTTTTTGTTTATAAATATTTTGTTTAGATAAATTCAGTCAATTGTGGTATATGGGTGGAAAGATCTACAAAAGAGGAACACTTTTGCTGTGGACCGTAAATTGATTGGTCCAAAATTAAAAAAGTTATAAACATTTAAAAAAAAAAATCTAGTCAGGGTTGGACTTTTCAGTCAGGGTTGGACATTTTTTGAAAATCGAAACGCATTATTGGTAAAAACGTAAAATAACATTTGTAATGTTTTTTATTCTTATTTTTTCATGTTTATCTTTATTACTTATTGTTTACAAATTGTAAAGCTTCATGGGTTTAAAAAAGGAATGAACTCAAATTACAAAAAATAACGCTTTATTGTTCCAAATAACTCAATGAAATGATGAACAAAATTTATACAATTTAAGTATTATTTTTCTAATATCTTTTGGCACAATTTTGCACTGAAATATCAATAAAATAAAATTTATTTGTATATTTATTTATAAATTGTGTCAAATTCATAATTAATATGGGTGTCCAACCCTAACTATGTATAAAGTGTCCAACCATAACTAGAAGCATCATTTTCGAATTGTGCTAACAATAACCAGACATGTGTCGCGATTCGATTTTTCACTTTTTTTCTTCTTAAATTATGTACCCCACAATACATTCAATAAGCTTACCTTGCCGAATTCTTGCTTTTTTTTACACATTTTTTAGGTTTATTCACAAGTCAAACAAAACTTTTTTTGTCTCTTCGATTGCACCGAAGTCACAGGAGACGCTACTTTTGATTCTCCAAAAATGTAATGCCACAAAAAGTTAGGTTACACTACTAGAAGGTTCGTCACGTACGCACACAGGTGGCGCTAGTGTTCTTATTTAAAAAAAGCCAAGTGTCCAACTCTGACACTATTCCCCTAGATATTTATAATGCGCGCGAAATTTAAATTGTTTCATATGATTTTTAATTTAAAATATAATTGGAATATTCTATCAATGACTATAATTAAGCAAAGGGCAACAGGGGCATATTTTTTGCAATTGTATTTAGTTAATCAGTTAGTTAATTATAATCAGTTAAATAGCAATTATGAAATAAAGTCCAAAGTTAGCGCAAATTATATTATATTAAATATTAATGTATTTAATCCAATTTTTGTATTACTTTTTCAAATTATATACACTCGGAGAAAAGATATATGTATATATATTTCTCTCAGAGCCAAATAAATATTTATTTGTTTTAAATAAATTCTATTTGGTTGAAACAAATTTTATTTGTGTTTAAATAAATTCCATTTGGGTTTTAATAAATTCCATTTGGGTTTTAATAAATTCCACTTGGTTTAAATAAAAATTTTATTTGCGCTAAATAAATTTATTTTTTATTTAAAACAAATAAGATTTTTTATTTAAAAAAAATAAGATTTTTTATTTAAAAAAAAATGATTAAACTCTGAGTCAAATGTATTTTTATTTGATTCAAATAAATTTTATTTGGCTCAATTAAAATCAAGTAAAATATTTCTTTGGCTGTATGTCGCCAAATATTATAATTGAGTTTATAAAGATATATATTTTCGATATCATCACTTTTTGTTACTTCATTAGATGTAGACAATTTTGACAGCCCTCAAAACGTATATTGAGAATTATATTTCATTCACACAATAGAAGATGAGGACCGTTATATATCCTGGATTTTTCGAAGAATAATTAATCGTTCTTTTATTCCAGATCAAAATCTCAAGTTTGATCTGTCAAAAGATAAAGTTCATTTATCGCATAAATTCTAATCAAAATATATATATTTTGTTTCTTTTTTTTCTATCCAAACATAATTTATTGTTCAGGTATGTGTGGCATTTAAAACATTTTTTTTTTATTTAATATTTTTATATTAATGTATTATTAATAGTCAAATTTATTGATAATTTCTTTGATTTAAATAAAAAAAATTTCGTAAAATCAAAGAAATATATTTATTTGAGGCACCAAAAAAAATCAAATAAAAAAATAACTTGTTAAACTAAAACAAAAAGTTTGTAAGTATTTTGAACTCATGTTGTGATCAGATTGATTGAAAATACTGATAAAGAAAAAGAAGGAGAAGAACATATGTTTTGATAAACTGATTAAATCACTATACGCAGTTGTCTTAATTTTCTTATATATATATAAGAAGTTGTAAACTCGGGTCGATCAGAATCTTTTTATTCTGTCGTTTTTTATATCATTAATACAAAGACCGCGCGGCGCTTTTTCTTAAAAAAAAAAGAAGAAAGAATAACTTTAAAAGAAGTAATGTTCTTATCTTATAGATTATGAGCTTGTTAGCCCGCGCTACCATATATAATATTCAACGGTAGTAAATTATTCTATATCGTTTAGATCGACTTTATTATCCGATCATTCTCGTCATCGCGCATTATCATCATCATAAACGCGTGCTTACCTGGCTCAATGAGACTCCCTGCGGCACGAGATTGCAAACACTATTATATCCACATTGGCTTCAAAAGATTTTCAACGATATGCGCGCAGCGAGAAAGAGAGAGAGAGAGAGAGAGAAATGGTGTATGCTGATTTTCCAACCACATGTTTATTTCTCAGAACTGATGAAATTTCATGCTTTTAAACATATTTTTATTTATATCTCTTTTTTTTTACTTTTTCACTTTCCTTTTTTTAAACTTTTTTTTCCCTCATAAAATTGATGGATTATACTTAATCTATTGATATCTTTCTACTTTTTACAAGGGTTTTGAAATAATCATACGAAATATATTATTTCCACAATATTTATAAATATTTTATGAGTTTATTGTACTAATGCATAATCTAAAATTCAATTTAAATTGCTAATTGTATTTTACTTTCAGGCATGAATGTTTTAACATATGGAAAACTAGTCTGGACCTTAGCAGGTTTACCAAGTAAGTACACTATTTTATTTATTAAATTATATATATTTTTTCAATTATTTTTATTTAATTGACATATATGGGCAAATCCATGAAACTTTTAACTTTTATGACACCTGAATCAAACACTTAAAAGTCTATATTATTTTTAATTAAAACTTAATATATAATTTTTTCTTGCTAAATTATATACAAAGTAACATTTCTGTACAATATTAGAAGAATATATTAATTTGTCAATTAGTTTTACAGGTTAAAAAGTGAAAAAACACTGAAATTTCATGTGACACCGTCAGAAAAGTTTACATTCTTAACGACTTTTCTTTTGTGACGTGTAAAATATCGCTTCAGCTGCAAAGGAAATATCTAACAGACATATTTTGTCAAAATTTTTTCACTATCCCATTAGTGTGCCCTCAATGTTAATAAAGATATGAAGGGTTGATTGAATGACGCCACTTTTTGAGACAATTTAATTAAACATCTTCTTACGGAAATATCTTGTGCGGCGTTCAATGAAAATAAAAATTCAAACGTATTTCTGAATAGAAAATGAAAAAACGAAAATTTTAAGACCTTTTTCATTGATGTGCCTCTAAATGTACTCCTGTAGGAGCAATTAGAAGATGATAATAAAAATCGTGATTTCATTTAAATTTATACATTTTTGAAAGGCACCACTGCATTTTTGCTTTAAACAGGTCAATCTATGGTGTGATCGAAACATTTTCATACATATATTTGAACACAAAAACGCCGCTTAAGTATTTTGAGTGAAACAAATTTTATTAAGTTAAGAATATGCTGAAAACACTTTTTTAAAGTCTTTACCCCCTCTTTTCTCAAAATCCTGACGTGCTAAGCAAATTTGGATGCCAGAATCGTGCTCAGAGGACGAAAATACTTTGGAAACCACTCCGATATTAAAAATAAAAAAAGTTGAATGTTTCAATTTTATATGTAATTTATTAACATTAAAGAGTTTAAAGAGTGAAACATTGACGGCGTGAGCTAAAAATGAATCATGCATATGAATTTGTAGTGCTAAAATGTACTTAAACGTGTATACAAAGTGACATCAATGTGCCTGCAAATTAAAAAAAGAAATTTTCTTTTCTTGAAAGTTAAAAGTTTCGTGGATTTGCCCATATATCTACCTGGGTTCGAGGCTATGTTCGACAGACATAAACTTAAATTTAGGTCAAATTTTGGCGGGAAATCACCCCCATAAACAATAAACGAACATAACCTCAAAATTTATTGGAATTTTGACTGTGAATATAGCCACAAGTCCCCAGGATTGTCGATAGGTTTTAGGATATGTCCGACAGACATAACCTTAAATTTAGGTCAAATATTTTGCCGGAAAATCCCCCCTAAACAAGAATCGAACATAACCTTAAAATTAGACTTAAATTTTGTCGAAAAAAAACGTTCCTCCTAATCAACATATGAACATAACCTTAAAATTTATGTGAATTTTTACTGTGAATACAACTGCAAGTTATCACTACGCTACGCACGGTGAAGAAAGTGCCTTTTTAAGAAATGCGAAAATTTTTTTTCTTTGATTTAGGTTGGCAGTATAATGACGAGAATTTGAATATTTTTAAAAATAATTTTTATTATGAAATGATTAATTTTTCATTATTTTTAAAAATTCATTTAAAATATTTCAGTAAAATATAATCCAATTCGTTAAAATTATTTTACTAACATTTTTTATTGACTTTTTTATTTTTATGATTCAAAACTTTTAAAATTTATTTAAAATAAAAATAACTCGCTGCATTTTTTTATAAAAAAAAAATAGTAATTTATTCTGCGCTTTTTGCTATCAGAGTGAAGAAGATAACAATACAGAAACTAACATTTTTTATTTTTATTTTCTTAACAAGATGTCACAAATTTTTTTTACTGTTCGTTTACAAAAAATATTATTAAGAAAAGAAAATAAATTATAAGTAAACATTGTATATTTCTTATTTGACTCAAAAATAATTAAATTTATTGAAAACTTTTTTATTACATCCGGATTTTTTGTTTAATTAACCATGATATTTTTAATATTCTTGTTTAATTAAAGCGAATTTATATTATTGAAAGAAAAAGAAATGTTTATGAAGAATATTTTATATTTGTTTCAAATGAATATTAAAAGTTTTCAATAATAAGAATAAAAAGATACTGCCAACCTAAACCAAATAAACAAATTTTTGCCTTTCTGAAAAAGCATTTTCTTCAACGTTCTTCAGAGCATGCATGGTTTTTAAAGCTTGCACGAAACAGCACAGTTTTCATCGTTGATCTGAATTTGCACACTCTTCCCCCCAGGCGTCGAAATGCAATTAATATAATTTAGTTAAAGTTAATATATCAAATTATTTTTTTTAAAATTGAATCCAATTTATAAAATATATAAAATAAACAAGGAGGGGGTCCTTTATGTTTATTTCATAAACATTATGCTTCCTCATTTTGTGAAGCAAAAAATTCGCTTCCTCGTGAAGGAAGCAATGAATTTGTCCAATTCAATTGATTGATTTAAAAAATTTCGAGTTAAAAAGGTTTTAAATTAATTAAATTTTTTGAAAAATAAAGAAAATTTTAATTAATTTTGAATGTAACATAAACTTTATATATACGAATCGATTCGTTTTAATGCAAGGAATACAATTATTTTATTCATCAACTTGAATTTAAAAAAAACACAAAATTTTTTAGCTAAAATATGAATTTTCGATTTTTCAATTTTTATTAATTCTCAAATTTTAAATCAAATCTATACTTTATATATACCAACCAATTCGTTTCAATGCAGGGAATAAAATTATTTCATATATAAACATGAATTTAAATAAACACATCATTTTTTAGCTAAAATGAGAATTTTTGATTTTTTAACTTTCATTAATTCTTTAAATTTCAATCAAATCTATACTTTATATATATCAATCGATTCATCTTGACATAAAGAAGACGATTAT